TTTGTTTCGATACGATATTATCGCAACATCCTTATATCTTCCTATTTATACACAAATACTGTAAAAATATATTCTATCTAATACTGGCAGCAAAATGGTGGCGTAAATTACGATTCCTAACAATCCAATAGACACGAGATAACAAGTAATTTTTCGTTGTTTACTCATCACAATCTGAATCAAGTCGTGCACTACCTCTGGGAACAAAGCAATCAAGGAAGTACTCTAAGGTGGTCTTCACGAGAGACAAAGAAAAAAAGGAAAGAAAGTGGAGTTGTTAAGATAGCATGTTTAACATAAGTTAACATAGTCATTAGGAGATGTTTGCCTTAGCCGAATTAAATCGTCAATGTAGAGGCGCTTGAGCTCGGGATCTTGATTGACAGTTCTCCAACAATTACCCGACAGCTCCGAGGGGAAAGGATAAAAAAGGACCTGAAGAAGAAAGGATAAAAAGGAAAAAAAAAAAGGACAGGAGAATATAAAATGAATATTCTCTTTGGAACTGGGAGGGGGGAGAGGTAGAGCTGATGATATATAAGGCATGTTTGTTTTAGCTGGGTGGTCCGGGCTAAGGGGCTTTCTTCTTCCCAAAGCTCATTAACGTTCTTGCCAAACTATAATCGACTTGTCGGCGAATCTCTTCTCGTTCAGCGATCGTATCGATCTACCGCTATGTCGAGCTGAGCCAGGATCGATATTATAATGGAGCAGAAATAGTAGACTGCAGGTAGGAAAGTCAGTTGTCGAGTGTATAAAGAAAGATAGAATAAAATATATAATTCTATATCAACGATTCGGCCAAAGTTTAAGGCCTTTATTAGAATGAGGAAACACTAATGATAATATGAGAAAGATTTGATCGGGGGGGGGGGCGGTCAAATAAATACTAAATTATAGAAATAGTATTATTTAATTATAATATCGATCCACCATGCAGGTCTTCATCAGGGCTACAAGAGATACACAATGTGAAAGATGCAAGGGTATATTACATTATATTTTTTATCTTTTATAGCCCTGATGAATAACTGCAAGATGGGTCGAAACGTCGGCATTATAATTAAATAATACTATTTCTATAATTTTTTTTATTTTTTATTATAAATTTTTATATAATATAAATTTATTTATATTTTATGCAATTTGAACCTGCGCGGCTGCGCATCTAGCAATTTTTTTGTGTTTTTACTGTTGGTGTATTTCCTTGATATAGTTTTTATTGATATAGTAGGTCTCTTGGCCATTTTCTTCTAAATCTCCGTTGTTCAAGTAACAGGGAGCAGGAGATAGAAAGAACCAGAGGATTGGAGTGATTTTGGGTTGAAGAATGAAATGTAGTGTATTTGTCGTGGATGTAGGATTTTACTTGTATTTGTATTTTGTTTATGTATTTGTTTTGCTGAACCCCAAAGTTCTGCTCCATATGTCCATATTGGTCTCAGTAGGGTGTTGTAGATCAGTCGCTTGTTCCGTAAGTTAAGTGAAGATCTGTAGTCCAGAAGATGTGAGAGTTGGCTATATCGTCTAGTAAGTTCTTGTCTTTTTAATTTCGTAAGTATGTTCCAAGTAAGTCTTTTGTCTAAGTAGAGTCCAAGGTACCGTACATAGTTCTTTCAAGGCACTGGATTATTGGCAATCGTTATGGGTGGACATGAGGCTTTCCTAAGAGAGAAACTAACGTGGGTGGATTCTATACTTTAGTATTTATTTGACCACACCCTCTAATCAACTCTTTCTCATATTATATCACGGTCAACCATCTCTACATCACTAATGATAATATATACTTAAATAATTAGGTATATTTCATGTTCATGAAAATTATTAAGTAACAATTTGGAAAATTAAATTGGTGAATGAATTATGCATCCAAAGAAGATAATGCTTTCTATACAATTGATTCAACTCTATACTGTTCACATTTAACAAAATTGGATCAATGTATTAAAAATAAACGTCCAGAATTGGCAAATCGGAAGGGTGTTGTGTTCCACCTCATTGGTCACTCGCAATAAATTATTGAACCTTGGATGGGACCTTTTGCCACACTCTCCCTATTCACCAGACCAAGCTCCAAGTGACTACTTGTTTCTGTCTGCAGAACTTCATGAATGGAATGAAATTCCAAAAGGAAGAGGACATCAAAAAAACACTTGGTTCAGCTTTTTAACAATAACCTCCAGACATTCTATGAACATGACATTATGCAGTTAGTGGAAGGGTGAGAAAAAGTCATATTAAAGAATGGTCAATATATTGTAGATTAAAATAAATTTTATGTCTATAGTATGTTGAGTTTTATTTCACTCGGAAAAATCGAAAGGATGTATTCAGAATAGACCATTATGTAGTGAATATATGAATTAAAATAATGATAATTATATTGTAGAATATTGATGAGCCTGGGACAGGACCCCGAAACGTTGAAGATGTAAGCGAATTACTTGAGTAATAAATTAATTTATCCAAGGAGGAAGATAAAGATTTTAATCGGCTATCTTCAAGAAACTATATACTGCAAAATAATAACTGAAAATTATTTCAAAATAGTTTATTATTTCTAAACAATCATACATCTAAAGTAATATAAAGAAAATATTGCTAAGTAACATAAACAAAAAGAAATAAAAGGTGGTTCCTATTATTGGCCTGAGCATTTTTTTTTTCATTATAAATAATTTACTAAAAAAAATAGCATTGGTTCAATAAAACATTCAAAAATCAAAAACCGAAACAAAGGATAAAGTAGAACATATAAAAAATATCTAAACATACCTTTGCTGCACTTTGTCCGATTTCAATGATTTTTTTTTTCTTTTTCAGAAAATTTCGTAAACTTTTAAATAATTATACAATATAAAAAAAAGTGTATACTTTCCGAGTTATTCGAAAATCTAATTTTACCACCCCTCGTAACGTTCTATCAAGCTTCTTTTCGTTGAAGTATGTCATATAGAAAAATTTAAAAGACTAGCCAAGTTTCATTTACATTTAGATATATTCGTTTATGCACTACATAGTAACATAGGTTTTTCGGATGATCTGACTTTAATTTGAAAAAAAATTAGTCTAGTTGTCTCGGAGAAAATGAGCGGACGGCGGACAAAAAAAATTGTTTTCCATAAATATAGTCTTTCTCACAATATTTACCACACAGAAGACAGCTGATGTTAGTGTCCAATCGAAACAGCCATGTTGTCCAAGCCAAATAAGCAATGAACCATTTTTAGTAAATTTGAATATACCTGTAAAAGTAATGCGTAAAGGCAAACAATTATATAAATTTTAAATTTATATAGAATTTATTTTATGCAATAGCAAGCGAACTAGTGGATTCAAGATTTATTTTTTTTTTTTGGAGGGGGAGGGGATTCAGCCCTAAAGCTTTTTTTCTCATATATATATATATATTATATATATATATATATATATATATATATATATATATATATATATATATATATATATATATTGTTATACTATCATTATGAAATGCTGTTTAAGTGACTCTTGAAGTCCTATTAAATGTAACTACACGAACAATAGTACTTTAAGAGATAATTTATTAATATTTTTTACAAAAACAGGGTTACATTTTACCATTTGGGGGGGGGGGCTTAGTCACGAAAGCTTTCCCCTCCCCCAAGTACTAGTAATGCTTAGAACTGTATCAGTGGAGATGAGATTAAACATGAGATCAGTGGATTAAACATGCATAATTTTGGAGTTTTGGTATCAGATAATAATGAAAAACATCAGGAAATTTTATATTATTTTGTTTATTGTGAAACGTGTATCGATTTTTGCTGTCGAATAAAGAGCTTTAAAATTTACATACATATTAAAATATAATAGCCTCATATCAGCTTCATCACCATTCATGTTTTTTTTTTGTATTTTATTTTTTTAACATAAACTTATCAATTGTTTGCAATAAACAACATACTATTTATAAATAAATTATATTTTATTATACATTTCAGGTTATTTTTATCATTGGGCTCAGATCGAATTATTTTTAATATGTATAATATATATTTTATATTACAATGCATTTTTTTTTCCTTTATACATATAATATACATCGTTCAATTTACAAAATTAATTAAAAAATATTTACTATATATCATTTAGAACAATAAATACAAAACAACAATTATTATAATCGTATAAACATATTTACATGCATAATGTTTTTTTTTAAATTAACTTTTTAAAAATATTTTTACAATTGTATTGATAACAATGTGTGATGTTCCTAGGTAACATTTATAAATTAATATATATATTTTTTTAATCATTACAAGAAACTTAATAGTTAATATGAAAAAAAAAAAAGTAGAGAGCTGTTGCTTTTAAGTTATGATGGTATAAGACTTCTCCCAATAGTCATCCAAGATATATTTTTAATACCTTTACAGTTTAAAAAATAATTATAACAATAAAAATAATATGATTTGACTAAAATAATTTCATCCCATTTTACACAATCCCATACAAAACCTAACAAATTTCAAGCAGAGATTCATTTAGACACATTCAAAACACATCAGGTACATAAGGTTAAAATATTTAATCATTTTATTTAAACATGTTTGCTTAATTTAAGTAAAAATGAACTCGTCATACACAGCTCAAAAAAGTTTTAATACTTAAACAAATATACAAAATATTAACCCTTGAGTGGAGATATTAGTTTCGAAAGTTGAATAAAAAAATATGATTTATATATTTTTGTAGATGTGATAGGTGTCTATAAAAAAATAGAGAAAATTAAGTAGTGTAATAGCACGAGTGAGAAAAAATTTATTTAAAATTATAGCACAAATTCAAAGAAAGAAATCGAGCAACCTCACATCAGCAACCTTGATTTAAAACCACAGTTCTACATTTTTAGATGACTTACATGGACATTTTAGCTACAGTACATATAAAATGATTTTAGAATTATTTTAAGAAAATAAAAGTAATTTAAAAATTCTATTATGTTTTTTTTCCCTTCCTCTCCATGAATAAGAGAATAATAAAATATTGAAACTTTGCCAAAGTATAGTTCAAGAACCTCAGGAAAAGAATATATATATTTAACTCAACAATTGTATTCGCCCCGTTAAACTATGTATATATTCCTAGTCATATTCAACTTTTTCCAAGTCAAATTTATTTTTATCTAAGTCAAATTCAACTTTTTCCATTTCTAATTTAATTTTCGCTTTTTTTGTTTAACTTACCGAAATGTTTCAATATAAGATATAATATATTATTTTATCGAAAAATTCTGAAAAACTACAGTTGAATTTGGTTTGGAAAAGCTATATACTTAAATTGTTAATCCAGTATTTATTTTAATTATTTTTCTTATTTGTATAACAATAAATAAATGCTAGAATGAAGTCCAGACATAAAGAGACGAATTTTCATGAAAATAAAAAGAAATGTTCCCTTAGTCACAAGTTTCAAGATTAAATAATTGTTTTAAAATAAAAATAACCGGAAGGAAGTAATAAAATTATATAAAAATCGACATGAACCACATTGCATCTTATGTACGTACATTTTATTTATTAAAATGAAAATATTGCAGTAATTGTGTAAATAGTAGAATATTGGTTTTTGGCTTATGAAGGCCTATAAGAGGGAGGGGATCTAAAAGCTTCTCGAAAAGTCCACGAGATCTCCACTGAAGGGTTGTATTATTTTTAAATTAAAATCTAAAGAAATAAAAAAATAAAAAATAAACAGAAAAATATTAATCAAGGTATAAAAATGCCCCAAATAAATAGTTCCGATAAAATTTCTATAATACTATGATTGTAAGACCAGGCAGGGCTCCCTACCTCACTCCTATGTACAATGTACAATATTTACACAATTTACATCAACAATATCACAATAGTTGGGTGCCAACGTGCACAGTCCTATCTGCAACCACAGCCCACCACCGTCATGTCCTGGTAGTTCTTGAGAACCACCTTCCCCTCGTCGAGGTAGAGCATGGAGATGGAGGAGAGTTGGGTGGGCACGCAACAGGCCTTTGGCACGGCGTTGGGGTTGACCGAATGGACCAAGGTCTGGACTATGGCGTGGTTGGTGGAGTTGAGATGGTCCGCCAGAGGGAAGGGGCAGTCCCCGTGGCAGTAATAGGCGTCGTAGCCAGGGGGCGCCACTATCCAGTCGTCCCACCCGACCGCCTTGAAGTTCACGTAAAGTGGATGTCGTCTGCAGATCTCTCTGCCATCCTTCCTCCTGTGCTTCTTCCCCTGGGTTGCGGCTCGCTTCTTCCGCGACAGCAGCTGCTCCAGTCCTCGTGGCCCGGATCTTCCGTCGTCCGAGTAGAGGAACATTGTGTGCAGATCTCTCTTCACCCTCTGCGGAGCGCCATCTACTTCCACCAGAAGGCCATGGTTGGAACCGCTGGTCCATCGTTCCACCGCAGGAGTGACGTCCAATAGGACGCTGCCTTCCTTGTTCACTTTCTTGGTGTCCAGTATCCTGAGGATGGGACCTTCATTGCCTTTTCTTCCGGGCCGTACGATGTCGTGGACCTGAACTCGCTGTCCTGGCTGGAGGCCGGACAGTCGCAATTCTGCAGCAGTCGGCGTTTCCGACGCCAAGACATCAGTGACATTAAAGTTTAGCCGGAATTTCCGCCTCGCTCGATCATCTTCTTTACCTGAAATTCGAAGGATAACAAAAATTAATATACGTGAATTAGTAAGATTTAATCTTTAACATTAAATCATATAGCTTGCTATAGAAAACATCCACATCTTGTTGAACCGGAAGATTATTGAAAGTTAAAGATTACGAATATTATTGAATAGGAAACGAAAGGCATTCAGAAGGATATACGGATCTGTTTTTATTTAAGCTGGAAAGCTAAGGTTAAGGAAGAATGCATGTACAAAGAACGACATTTCGGGACATCTATTAAAAAGTGTCACCTAAGGAAAGAATGGATAGGATGGATGCCTGAGGGTAAGCTCTCCAAAATGCTTTTTAAGCAAAAGACAGAAGGACGATCAAGAAATAGGTGGTTATTCTTCGTTGAGAAATGTTTCTGTCCATTAGAACAGAAAGGACAGTAAAGTTATTGAGTGAGTGAGTGTTAAATGTCCTAAATCATATTACATTTAAGTAACTAATATAATAGGAAGGTCATCCTCGGGAGACCTCTAACTTTACATCAAAATTTGAAAAAAATCGGTCCAGTAGTTTCGGTTTGTAAAAGTTGTATTCGTTTTTCGAATTCTACGTATCGTGAAACGTAAAACCTTAAATTTTGAGAGCGGGTTAAGTTTTTGTTCGATCACAATGGTTCATTATTGAAAAAATTAAACCAACAGGAAAAATATATTGCAACTTTTTATTTTTAAATTAATTCATGACCGTACTTTTCATTAATTTTACTCTTCTGTAAATTTATTAATACATACTTTAAGGAATTTAATTTAAAACAAAACTAATTATTAAAAATGTAGAATAATTGTATATACGAAAAAGTAATTAACATATTGTTATTTGTTTGGTCTGTCACATGTTTATGTATTTGTATACATATCACCAATAGGTAAACTTTTTGTGATCGACAATGATTTTTAAATTCTGAATTTATGTTTTTGCTTCGTCTAGTTTCTGCATTCCTTGACTTCCGGTATATCCTTATAAAACTCCCTCCACGAATTCCAGGTCCGGTAGACACACTGGTTTTAATAAAAGACAAAAAGATGTTGTCGGTCATTGACCCGGGATCGATAGGGAACGGCCAGGTGTCCGGAGCGGAGGAATCCGATGAAAAGGACACTCGACAATAAAAGGACGAGTAAAGCAGAGTGTCCTGGAGGTGGTGGGAATTACACGAGCGACAAAGTGGTCACATTAGGAGAGAGTTATAGCGGTGGGTCTTATCGGGAGTACGTCCTCCTCCTTGTCGCCGAAGCCGAAGTAACATGTCTGCTTCGTCATGTAGCGACATTGTCCTGCGAACACTAGCGGCGCGGAGATATATCGGCTAATTAGGACGATGTATATCATTCAAAGCTGTATATATTGGAGGAGGTTCTCGGAGGTACTAGATCAGTCCTGATTGATTATCGAAACGTGCTCTTCGATATGAGTGTTGCAAGTGATTCATTTAGTATCAAAACATTCAAGTCAACTAATTAATTTTTTTAATGTTAAAGGTTATTTTACAGTTTTCTTTTAATATTTTTTTTTAAATTTTTATTGATTATATTTATACTGGTGATGTTACTAATTGAATTCTTCTAACGACATTTAGGGAATGCTAGCAAGATTAGTAGTATTAGTAAACATTTTGAAAATTAAGATTTTAGACGGCTATTTCCAAAATTAAATATTAATAAATTAGGTTTAATTACAGGGCTACTTCTGATAACAGAGAAAGAGAGTGTGTGTGAGTGTGAGAGTGAGAGAGAGAGAGAGAGAGTGTGAGAGAGAGAGAGAGAGAGAGAGAGAGAGAGAGAGAGAGAGAGGGGGGACAAGGGGTGGATTGAGTCTACCGTTGCGTGACGTATATCACTGCCAACACGTACAACACGATGCTATTAAACATCTCTTAGGCGTATTTTATAAATATGCATTTATAAAAGCTAATAAGACACATTTCAACAAGTTGTTCAATTAAAAAAACGAGAGGATGAGAAGAAAACAAAGCACTCTAATCATTTGTTTACATTAGGAGATCACGAGGCCATCTTCTTTTCAGACGCCTCGGAGGATTATCAGGAATCGATGAGGAAGCAAGGTTAGAAACAAGAGGATTCGGATGGTTATGAAGTTTATTATGGAAGGATAGGTATCTGGATTTGGCCAAACATATGGAACATTGAGGTCTTTATGGATTATTTTATTTGTGACACAGTAAGGAGCATTTAGAATTTTACGAAGGATTGTGGATTGTAAAGATTGGATACGAGTGGTATTTGATGATTTAGTGGAGCCCCATAGCTCAACTCCGTAAGTCCAAATAGGTCTTATTATAGTCATGTATATGAGCCGTTTGTAGTTAATTGGAAGTTTAGAGCGTTTGTCCAGTAAGTGTTGGAGTAAGCGGAAACGTCGAGCAGTTTCTTGTCGTTTCAGTCTTGTATCAGGATTCCAAGTGGCACGTTTGTCCAGCTGGAGTTCTAGGTATCGGATTTGTTCAACAGGGATAAGTGGGGTGTTATTAAAGGATACTGTAGGACATGAAGTCATAGGTTTACGACGAATTGTAAAGGTGATCTGGGATTTATTGGATTTTATTTTAATCCTCCAGTTTCGACATCATTCTTCGAGGTTTGTGATGTGTGAATGAAGAGTTTGGGATGTAATAGATGGATCATTATTAACTGACAGGACGCACGTGTCATCAGCATACGTAGTGATCACAGTGTTAGGATATGTTGGGATATCAGCTGTATAAACTATGTAAAGGACCAAGGATAATACCTCGAGGAACTCCGGCAGATAGAGAAAAGAGGGATGAATAGGTATTATTGTGATTAACTTTGAAGTGTCTATCAGTAAGAAAGGAGTTTAGAAAGTTAAATGCAGATCTGTAGTCCAAAAGATGTGACAGTTGTTTGTATCGTCTTGTCAGTTCTTGTTTTTTTTATTTTAGTGTGAATGTTTCAGGTAAGTTTAGTCCGAGATACCGTACATGTGTTTTTTTAGGGAACTGGTTTATAGTCCATTGTCACAGCAGGACACGAGATCTTCCTTAGAGAGAAGCTAACATGAGTTGACTTGCTGGGAGTTTTTAAGGTTCCTCTACTAACAGCTAGGCGGCGCTGACAGCCCATAACATAGCCTCATCCCCCCAATTTTTTTCAAAACGAATAAACATAGCAATTATCCAATGCTCACCTGTGTGCGCGAAGCTCCTGACCGTGTTGGCCGACCTGGTGTGGCGGCCCGGGAGGGGGAGGTCCAGGGTGTCGAGGGCGCCGGGGCCTCGCTGGCGGCGGTAGATGTCGAGGAGCTCCCGCGGCACCTGCAGCCCCGGGGCGGGGGGGCGGGGCCGCCGCTCCAGGCCCAGCACCTTGAGGAGCCCCTCCTCCGCCGGGCTGCTCCTCGCTAGTTCCGCCGCCGCCCACAGCACTACCATCACCAGCAGCGCCATGCTCGATCACGCTCCTGAAACAGGCCACAATCCTCTTAATACAACGGCTTGTGAATGGGAGGGGTGTTCATTCAATGAGATCTCTATTAATAAATACTAACTAACTAGGTAGAGACGACGATCTTGGCGGTTTCCTCGTCGAACGAACACTTTCAATAGTTGTTTCGGTTTCCCGTGACTGCCAAGCATGAGCAGTTGGCAGTCCAACTGGATGGGATTAACTCTGACGAGAAAAGAGAAAGAAAATGGCGAGAGCCTGAACCCAATCTAACCGATTACATTCTCTTCTTTTCCGGTGTGATTTCCTGTAGGAGGAGAAAAGAAGAAAATTTTCAGAGCGAGGGGCTGCAAGGATGAGGAGGAGACAGTGAAAGAGACCAAAAATTCAGCTCTTTTGCTAACAAACCTTCAAATTCTAACTTGATTATTATTATTTATTTGTAGTTTATGCAATTTGCACCTGCGCGGCTGCGCATCTAGCAAATATGGTGTATTTGTACTGCCTTAGTGCATTTGCATGATTTTGTTTTTTATTGATATAGTAGGTCCCTTGGCAATTTTCTTTGTAATCTGCGTTGTTCAGGTACAGGGAGCAGGAGGTAGATAGAACCAGAGGATTGGAGTGATTTTGGGTTTAAGAATGAAATATAGTATCGTGGATGTAGGATTTTACTGTTGGGGTGTTTAAGTCGTTATGTATACTACTATTTGAAATGTACCAAGGTGCGTTAACAATTTTTCGTACATTTTTTTATTGTGCTCTTTGTATCTGGTTTATATGTGTTTGTTTTGCTGAACCCCAAATTTCTGCTCCATATGTCCATATTGGTCTCAGTAAGGTGTTGTAGATTAGTCGCTTGTTTTGTAAGTTAAGTGAAGATCTGTCCAGAAGATGTGAAAGTTGGCTATATCGTCTAGTAAGTTCTTGTTTTAGCCTGATTAAGTTTGAACATTTAGCTTTTCTTCTACTATTATTTATTTATTTTTTTTGGGGGGGAGGGGACCCTGCCCATCATTTATCTCATACGGCGGAGGGAGGAGGGAGAGTTGTTCTAGACGTACAACGAAACCTATTCTCACCAGAGTGTGAGGGTCGAGTTTCATTTCGTGGATACGCCACGAAATAAAAGTCAACCACTCCTAGGCCGGATTCGAACCGGCTCCAAGGCTCCATCACGACCTGGATTTTCATCAAGATATCTTCTATAACATTCAGTATCTACAAATTTTAGCCCTATCACAAAATTACATCTGACTAACTAACAATAATTGTATTACTTTCGGCTTTCCCCTTTTTTTCACATTTACATTGCAAAAAAAATATATAGTTTAACTTCTGTTTGGACATTCATGCTCATTGTGTTTATTTCATACAGTCCATTATTTTCATAAAGATTTTGAGTGCTTGTGCATTAAGTTGGCGGCATTCATTCCTAAACAATATAGAGCAAACGCGGCGGAGAAATATCGCTGTTAATAAGCTACAGTTATGTGATTCATTTCAAGCAAAGATCTAAGAAAACGTTTAACGATACTAAAAACCTGAAACTTGTACAACCTGCCATAAATCGTGAATGGTAATGTGTAAATTAGAATCTATTTTATAAAATTGAAATATCATGGGTAATTATAAAAAATCCGACTTTTCAAAAACTTGAGCAATAAAAAACTTTGCAAATACCGCTGTTGGGATTGGACGCTGAATTTAAAACTACTACAAATATTACTTTTAGACCGGACATCTTTACAGAAATAAAAATTATATGTGTTATATGTAACTAGTTGGCCCGTGCGAGTAATTCGCAGAAAATTTTGTTTACTGAAAAAACAGCAAAACAATATGGAAATAAGTAACTCGTATGCATTATGTAAGGAAGGAATTAATATTTTTTCCTTGGTCGATTACAATATTCCATTAAACATAATAGACCAAAATATTTGTACAAATTGCTTTGCTAGGACCTATTTTTAAACACTGTCCGGAAAGATAATAAAGGGAAAATAATTCCCAGACCATGGGATTTTATAAATTATTAAAAAAAAACAAAATGTAAGAACAACCAAATGTTTTAAGAAATAATTAAATTAATATATCAGCCAGGGAAAAAAAGTGTAGTAAACTATTCTACTCCTAAATGCAATATCTTTAAACAGGAAGACATTATTAAGTATACCAAAACAAATAGACTGTACCTTTGTTAATAATTGTTCGATTTTTTGTTTGTTTTGTAGGTAATTTATTAATCTTTCTAATCATCATGGGTACAATCCAGACTTGCATACTTTTTGAGTTATTCGCAAATAAAGTTTCTTTTCCTCCATAACTTTTTACTCAGAAATTTTGGGAGGATGGAACAATTTTTCGCATGTGAAGGAGAAGAATATCTTCAAAACGAGTGGTCAATCATTGTATTTGATGAAGAATTGACGAAGTTATGGCGTACTGACAAAAAAAGACTTTTTAGAAATAATATATAGGATGGTTATTATTTTAGAATATTTTAAATTTTGTAATGAAATTAAATAAATATTTTTATAGTTTATCTAAGAAATAATACTTATATCATGTATGTGATAACAATATTTATGGAATTTGTATTATCAGCCTAAAAAGTTTCTAAATGACCGAATAATAAATATTTAAGGAACAGAATGACGCTAAATGGATCCCAAGCCCCATAAGTCGGTTCTCGAATTCCATGTAACATAAAACTAAGCCAATAGAATGGATGAAGCCGAGGGTACAGGTCACACAATACAACCCCACCAACTCTTTCAAGTATACATTATTTTTCAATAATAATAATAATAATACTTTATTTATTTTGGGACGAGTCCCTTAAGAATAATACAGAAAGACATAAATATGGGCTAAGGAGCCTCAGAGATACATAAATAAAAATCAGAGTAATTAAACAGTCATAGTAAAAAAAAAAATTATAAGTTACTTTCTAATTTTAATCAGTTAATAATAAAAAATGAAAAATTGAAAAAAAAATAAGAAAAAAGGATGAAGTAAAAATAATGAAAAACGAACTAGTAATTTATATACATATTTACATTAGCATCTATTTCATGGAGACTGGATGGATAAGAAATGATTGAACAAATGGTATTTAAAGGTAGGAAGGGTACTGGATTGACGAATGTGAGAGAGGATGGAGTTCCAAAGCGATGAGGATCGGATAATGAAAGATCTGTCGAAAGCAACGGTTCGGTGGGCCCTTATGTATAAATCTGAAGACCGGGAACGAGTATTGCGGGAACGAACAGAGGATCTGAATTGGAGGAGATCGGAAATGTATGTAGGACGGTGGGATTGGATGACTTGAAAGAGGAAGGATGCCAGGAAATACTTACGACGGTAGGAAGGATAAAGCCACATCAACTCTACATAAAAACGGGAAACAGAGGCATCCCATGGGATCCCAAAGATGAATCGTACAAAGCAATTTATCAAACGTTTTAGTTTCGCCTCGAGATCCCCAGAGACGCCCCCATATACCGTACAGCAATAGTCAAAGTGGGGAAAAATCAAGGAAGTGACTAGGAGCCTACGGGTTTCAAATGGAAATAGGTGACGATAATAATTTAGACGTTTTAGAATGAAAATAGTACGGCGGTAAATATTGGATACATGGTTTTTCCAGGAAAGCGTTTGATCGAAGGTTTAACGGTGGGGACGGACAACTACAATAAAATAATTGGTTCGTATGAATAATTTGCATAATATCAGTGATCAAACGGTGGATTAATAAGAAAATAAAATAATTCAGCCTACCATAAGATGCAACAATCAATTCTTATTCTTTATGTAATTGTAATCGATCAAAAAAAATGAAAATTAATTTAAAACTCATTTCATTCCGAAACTTGGTGACCGCATTAAAATATTCAAATCGCAATTTATCTAGTTCCGATCCATCGACTTACGTTTCATTACAAGTGTAGTTTCATCTTATTAATACAATAATATGTATTGTAAAACCGACGTGAAATACGTATACAATTAAAAATACAAACTAAAATTAATTAAAAAATATGTATAAACAAACCAGGGTTTATAATTATGATTACATAATTTATTAATAAGAGTTGTTACAGTACTGTTATATATATATATATATATATATATACATCTTTAATACAAACTTTTTTTTTCTATAATGTTTAAAACTTCATTCTATCATTCTGATTTGATCAGATCGTTAACACCAAATTAATACAAAAAATATAGAAAGGTCAAAATTCAAAAGAGCAAGAAGAAAAAAAAAATGTTGCGACATTTTAAAAATGATATCGTTATCTATAACAGAGGTCCACAACAGTTCATAAAACATTTGTTTGAATGAAAACGTTCCGAAAGATTGTCCTTGAGAAATATATATTATCTTTCTATTTTTATATTTAACAAGGCCAATTATTTTTGTTTTTAAACTGATTTTATTTCATTTTTGAGAGAATTTAAAATTAAATAATACCATATAACTACATATGTAGACTGAAGAAATGCAAGGTAACTTGGTCAATTAATACTTTAATTAATTTGGTGATTTCAATTTTAGGTATTTATGTACTGTATATTACGGAGGTTAGGTTATATCAATAAAAACGCAAGTTCCGAATTTTCAAATGTATACTTGTAAATTTAATAATCGTAGAAGAAAAGTGATGGGGATGCAACGTCATGAAACTGGAGCCATGATTTTGTCAATGATTACCAGCCACTAGCTCATACTGCTCATTATCGTCTCTGAATTAAATATTTACTTTAAAAATTATTGAAGGAACTTAGTCGAGTATTTTCCGGCAGAGGAATGGCGTATAAAAGTTTTGTAGTATATTTTGTGAAATTTATAATTTATATATATATTAATAACAACAGTCGACTGTTCTACATATCATGGGTGAAAAATAGTCAAGACTGTGAATAATTTTTATTCGTGCCAACGTTTCTAGGCCATGTTTCGAGCACTGATGATAACCCACATGCTTGGGTTGAAACGTTGGCACA